TTTATTTAATTTTTATTCTATCTATTTATTTATTTATTTATTTAAATTCATCAGACAATGACAGAGAAAGAGGGAAAAAGTGAGAAAGCAAGCTACAAGGTCTGGGACTCAAACCGCAGTAGACCATGTGGAAGTTCTATGTCCTAACCACCACGCCATCTGCTGGCCCCTCTAAGGAAACATTTCAAGTGAGATTCAAGGATGGAGTATGTCCCACCAGATAGGAGACAGGCAGGAAGATTGGCAAACAGATAGTTTCAGAAGGAAAGACAAATACAAAGGTCTTTAGGAGGAAGAAAGTCTGAAGGGTTTGAGGGAGCAGAGTGAGAAAGGGATTATAGGTGAAGATAACAGCAGGGAGGTGGTCAGAGGCCATTTGTGAAGAGTCATGCAGGTTATATTAAGGACTTTAGGCTTTAGTATTTCTATTATGAAGCCACTAAATGACTTTAGAAAAAGGAATGCCATGATTCAACTTACAGTGGTTTGAAGGATACAGAGTGGGTGAGGGGAAAGCAGAAAGAGACTGTTAGAGATCTAAGTGAGAAAGGCTGGTGAGAAAAACTGAGTGGAAGCAATGGACACAGAGAAGTGGAATGATTCAAGAAATATTTTGGGGATAAAAGCAACCAAACTTGGTGGTGAACTGGGATAGTATGAGAATGGTCAGATTTGTGAACATGTCAAAAATGTCTCCTACATTTCAAACTTGAGCAATACCCAGAAAAAAGATGTATGAGCTAACCTTGAAGAAGCTGGATTTTAACTGACAGAGAAGAGAGAAAGACAAAGAGATGTGGAGGCCTGTGGTACATTCAGAACACCACAAATCACATTCTGATGCATTAGTGGTACAGGGTTTACAATAAAACTGCAGAGAGGAGTGACTGTCACAAATTATGAAGGCCTCTGAAGTTTTGATAAAGTTTTTTTTTTTTTTTTTTTTTTTTTAATCAGGCATCACTTCAGATCTATTTTCAAGTTTATATTAAACTTCTGGCAAGTCACAACAAAGTTCAAGAAAGAATTAAGAGAGGGATTAGCAATGGCATAATAGTTACGTCGCTGGACTCCCACATTGTCCACCATGGTGAGTCCTGGACCCAGTGGCTTAAAACTCATGCCAGGCAAGTGTGTGTGTGTGTGTGTGTGTGTGTGTGTGTGTGCTCAAAATCCCAAGAGGAGAACGGAATAGAAGGGACTGCAGCATGGCCATCTCCCCTGGGGGGTGATTTCTTATGTTCTGTCTCTCCGGTAAGCACACACGCCCTATAGCAAAATAATCCCTGTAAAAGAAATAAAGAAAGAAAGAAAGAATTAAGAAACAAAAATTTAGAAATTATACAGATGATGACTTAAACCACTAAACAAAGTTAGAAAGCCCATGGAGGTACAAAGTAAAAGGACAATCAAAGTAAGAAAGAGCCTCTGTATTTAAAAGACAGGCAAAAGAAAAAATGAGAAAGAAGCTCGAAAGGCTTAAAATCCTCATGGATACCATGAAATGAAAATGATACTGTGGCCTAATCATGGTAGTGCATGCTGGTGACACTGCTACTCAGCAAGCTGAGACCACATGAGAGGCCTGAGTTTAATTCCTGACTCATCCTAAAAGCTGAGTGTGGTAGCCTGTGCCTATAGTCCTAGCTACTTGGGAGGTTGAAATGAGAGGATAATAAGTCCTTCTCTGAAAAAAAAATAATAAATAAAAGGAAGAAAAGGAATAATACGTAGGTATTGCTAATATAGAACATTTCCTATGTGCCAAAAACTATTCTAAAAACTTTATGTGGGGACTGGCATGTGGCACAATGGTTAAGGCATTGGACATCCACATGGCCAACCATGGTTTGAGTTCTGGACCTGGCAGCTTACTCTCTCACTTTCCCTTTCTCTCTCTCTGGAAAAATTTTAAAATAATAATAAATAAAATTAAATAATTATTTAAAAAACTTTATATGTATTAAAACATATATTTTTTTCTATAATCTTGAGAAGTGTGAGGTAGGTACCATTATTAACCTTCTTTTATAGAGACTGAGACACAATAAATTGCTTGTTCAAGATGACTAACCTAGTAAGTAACAGAACTGGGAAGAGTTTATAATCTTAACCATTATGCTTATGACCTCTCAAGACTCTAACCTTTATCATTTCTGTTCTTCCTAGATTATATGAAAAAATTAGTTCAGTAACCCATAGTTACATAACCCTTCAGGATGCTTCTGATCACAGAAATGTTCTTCAAGATAGCTGCTTTAGTGTGTGTTAGTTAATGCCTCTGTACTCTTCAAAACAGAATCTTTGAAGTAAACAAAAATCTTGATATTTACATACAGGGAAATAATTACCCAATACAGAGACCATTAAACCATTGTGAATTGTGTACTAGTTTCATACATAATGGGTACCATAAAGACAGAGTTCAATAAATAACTCAAATATGGTAGATTAACTTCTAAAAATATAAGCCATAATTTTTAATTATGATAATATAAAACATGTATTAAAATTTTCCAATTACTAAAAGTAGAAACAATAAGCTCATAGAGATGAGCTAATATTAAAATTTTTTTTTAAATTGCTTTCATACTGGCTAAAGTTTAATAAAAGTAGAAGTATAATTATAATAACCTGAAAATGAAACTGGTTCTAAACTGGGCACTATTTGCCACACTCCCAAACCCTGACCTCAGGGGACATTTGGCAACGTCTGAAGAGATTTTTGATAGTCACAGCTAAGGGATGGGGGTTACCACTAGCATCTAGTGGTTATAGGCCAAGGATGCTAAAAACACCTTAAAGTGCATAGAACAATCCCCAAAGCAGAGAATAATCTAGTGCAAAATATCAACAGTGTCAAGTTTGAGAAATCTTGTTATAAAAATAACAACTATTCCAGTAGAGGTCAAACCTGATCAATTAAGAAAAAGGAGAAAAATAGAGAGGCAAGTCACTTATGGGACAAAGAAATGGGTTATTATCTATTGAAGATAACTTTATAGTACTGTTAACTGGACTGGTGAGAAATGTACACATTAGAATATTCACTTTGCAAGCTAAGTAAAATGTGATTGAATGTATAAAAGAAATAAAAATTAAAAGGTTAAAGGAAAAAAATAAACTATTATAGAATTCAGTATATATTTGAACATATAGATGAAAAAGACTTCTAGTTCTTGAGAATAAAGTCAACTTAATTTTGGTCTTTATGATGATATTGGATAAATGTCATATCATTTTTTTGTCATCATTAGCTTCTTATTACTATACTAATTGTAAGACTGATGGTCTCTTTCCTAAAATCTTTACGCTCAGTACTTTGACTTTGTTCTTCACACTTGGGAAAACTTTTATAGAATATACTAATAGTGAAACTAAGTTCACACATCAAAGAATTTAAAGTGGAGACTGATAAATATTGCATTCCATTATTAAATGCTAAAACGCAATGGAATGGAGTAGGTACATGGACTGATGGTTTTTTCTTTCCAAATTTCCTGTCACCATTTGTGAAGGAAAAAGCACTCTCTAACAGACTTTATGTGTTTAATTTTAGCCCAGGGCAAATTTTTATGACTGAGTGATAAACCCACAAAACTGGAGTTCATATTGACACTCCTTACACTACTAACTATAATGATACCACTGGGCATTACCATTTTAAAAGTGTAAAAAAAAATCAATGAGCAGATTGCCATTACAGAAACTCATTCTGCATCATACATATCACCCAAGAGATTGATATTTTATGCGTATAAAACTTAACATAAAATTAAATTGCAAATATTTTCTCACAATCTACTAAAATTATAGCCTAAAGCAATACACTGCTAATATGAAGCATTTGTTCAGCTCTAGTGGGCATATTTCCTATATGATTTATGTGAAAGAAGGCTTCATTTACTTCTTCATAGATTTAGTAATGAGGTTTCTCTTCTTGTATTAGGCCTTGAAAATATAGAAACTTCTTTAAAATTAATCCAGTAGATATAACATTGAATTATTAAATAATAGCTAATGTTTAAAACTTGAAGCCTTTTCTCCTTATGTTCATGACTATGTCATTTCAAACATTAGTCATTCTTTCATTATCCAAATGCATTAAAAAATCTAAATATTCCATACAGAGAATACATTTTCATTTGTTAGGAATAAAATCAGTAACAAATTTCAAGTAAAATAGTAGATTGTGATTTTTTTCCTCCTAAAATCTAGAAAGATCAAAAGCTGACGATGGTAACATGCACTAGTAGATGTTGCTACTTAGAGGCTGAGGTTACATGGGTGACCCAGGTTCAATTCTTGAACTCCTTTAAAAGTTGAATGCTGTAAAGTGCTCCTATAGTCCAAGATGAGGCTGACGTGTGAGGACTGCAGTACGGCCAGACAGTATCTCAACTAATAATAACTTCAATCATTTTCCATCAAAAGTTAGGAGTAACAGAAAAGAGAGCTGTCTTATCTATTAGGATATAAATAACACTGAGACCATAAAGTTTAAGAAAAGACAAAATTGATTTAACTATTATTCAATGCATCATGAACTTCTGTGTGGCACTTTCTAGTCAGTGGGGTATCACTTATTAGCATGTTTCATAATACACATAGAAGGAGGTAATTTCTTCATCTGGAACTTAAAAAATAGGCTAGGCTCGAGGTCAGCAGGTGGCATGGTGGTTAAGCCATTGGACTCCCCCACGACCAACCATGGTTCAAGTCCTGGACCTGGTGGCTTGAAAATCACACTGGACATATGTGCATGAGTGCCCAAAGTGCCCAGAAGAGAATGGAGGAGAAAGGACTGCTGCATGGCCACGTCCCCTGGGGGAATAATTTCTTGCTTTCCTTCCCTGTGTTTCTCTGTCTCTCTCCAGAACATACATGCTCAATAGAAACAAAAACAACAAAAAATAAGTCTGTGCACATAACTATGCTGAACTCTATTTAACTTGAAAAATTACCAGATTTTATACTAAAGTATAATAGGCAATTCTTACCTTAAACATTCAGCATCATTTTGAGGCTTTTCACTTATTTTTAATTTTTCTGCCTGTAGGTATTTGGTAGTACAAATGGCTTCATTCTCTTCATCTTCAAGAACTAATCAATTAAGGGAACCAGCAGTTAGCGTAATGGCTATGTCGCTGGACTCCCATGTAGTCGACCGCAGTTTGCGTCCTGGACCCAGTAGCTTAAAACTCATGCCGGGCTCGTGTGCGTGCATGCCCAAGATCCCGAGAGGAGAACGGAGGAGAAGGGATTGCGGCGTAACCATCCTCCCTGGGGGGGGGGGGGATTTCTCGCTTTCTGTCTCTATGTCTCTGTCTGGTGAGCGCACGCGCCCTATAGTGAAAACCTCTCAAAAAAAAAAGAACTAATCAATTAAGAAAATCTTAGCATTTTAAAAATAAGCACAAAGGTTATCTCTATTGAAAAAGATTCTAATTTCTGATTTTTTAATGTAAAATGCATATACTAATCTTTTTTATTTTCTATTTTAATATACAATTTAAGACACAAAAACATCTTAACAAAGTTTAAGGCATTAAAAATATCATAAAAGTAAAGAATAAGTAAAACACTGACTCAGTGTTAGGTGATTCAGACCTAACATTGAGTCAATGTTTTATTTATTCCTTTTTTGTATCATTAATAGAAATATATCCCAGTAGGTTAATATATTTCAAAAGAATAATATGACCCTATTATGTGGACATAACCATATTTATCAGCAAAATAAACTAACTCATGAAAGTAATACCTTTAAGTTTTCTCTGGAGAGTAAACAATTCTTGCATCAAGTCATTCTTTTGTTTTTGAAGTTCATTTAACTGGCCACTGTCATGATGCATTGTCTTCAATTCTAGAAACAAATATTTAAAAATACTTAGAAATAAAGTTAACTAAGAAGGTGAACAATTTGTGAACTAAAAACTATAAAACCTTGATAGCAGAAATTGAAGACAGCACAAATAAATGCAAAGATATCCATCCTATGTTCATGAATCAAAAGAATTAACATTGTTGTGTCCATATTATCCAAAGCCATATACAGATTCACTATAATCTCAATCAAAATGTCAACAGTGGTGGCCAAATGGTGGCACAGTTGTAAAACTTGATGCTCTGAGAGGCTGACCCACATGAAAGGTTCTGTTAGCATCCAAAGACCTCCTAAGTATATCTGGTACACATGTGCCCATGATCTAGGGTTGGCTGATGCTGGGGGTAGATTATGGAATTAAAGCCTTATTGGGGGTGCTGCCTCTTTGTCTCTGTCTGTGCTGATCATAGAAGAAATAAAAACTTAAAATTCTAATAGTATTATTCACAGAAATAAAAAAAATCTAAAAGATCTAGAAACAAATAGCAAAATCCATATTTTAAGTGTTTATGCCTTGCCTTAAATACGGCAGCAATTGTCAACTTTTTCCCATGTGGTAAAAATTTAAGCAGCATACGGTCAATTGTAGGACCAATTTAGCTTCTATTAGTACCCTTTGATCAGCACTCATTAATTACTATGTGGATACAAAAAGATGAGAGAGTTGCTGGTTAGGCTAACAAAGGAGAAATTCAAATATTGATAAGTAATATCACTAATAAACTTCCCTACAAAATAATGAGAAAACTATACTTGATAACTAAAGTATATTTAAAGTGACACTGCATAATACTCTATCACGACAAGCTTTCACACTATTGCTAATACAGGTGTTTTCCTCACTTTAATCTCATAACAAACTCTATCCTTTAAGACTCATCTAATTTTCATGTGTGTTTTTATCCTGCCATACTTCTAGGATTCCAACTACACACATACTACACATATACACATATATTCATGAATCAAAAGAATTCACATTTTGAAATGTCCATATTATCCAAAGCAATGTACAGATTCAATAGAATCTCAATCAACATTTCAACAGTGGTGTCCAAATGGTGGCACAGTTGTAAAACGATGCTCTGAGAGGCTGACCCACATGAAAGGTTCTGCTTGATGCTGTCCCATAGTTCTCTGAGGAGATTTTTAGTTTTTTTTGTTTGTTTGTTTGTTTGTTTTTTTTTAGAGGTTTTCACTCTAGGGTGCGTGCGCTCGCCAGACAGACAGAGAGAAACATAGAGACAGAAAGCAAGAAATCACCCCCCAGGGGGCATGGTCACGCCGCAATCCCTTCTCCTCCACTCTCCTCTCGGGATCTTGGGCACGCACGCACATGCGCCCGGTGTGAGTTTTAAGCCACCGGGTCCGGGACGTGAACCACGGTCGACTATGTGGGAGTCCAGCGACATAGCCATTACGCTAACTGCTGGTTCCCGAGATTTTTAGTTTTTTAAGTCTTTAATTTCCCTTTATGTTCTAATTTTTAATACTATCTGTTCAAGTTCACTGATCTTTTCTTCTTCATTTTCTAATTTGCTATTAATCTCTTCCAAGAAATTCCTCATATCAATATTGTATTTTATAACCTCTAGAACACCTTTAGTTCTTCTTACAACTTTAAAATGAGATATATTTTACATAAGATATAACTCACCCTTTTAAAGTACACAATCCAGTGAGTTTTAGTATATTCACAGATTTGTGCATCCATTACCATTATGCAATTTTGGAACATTTTGTCACCCCAAAAAGAAACTCCATGCCCAATTTCTCCAAGTTCCTCCAGCCTTAGGTAACACTAATCTACATTTTATCTACATAAATTCATCTATTATAGACATTTCATGATAATGAAGTCATATAATATTTGGTCTTTTGTGATCCAACTTCTTTCATGCAGCATAATGATTTTAAGGATCATCATTTTGATTTTTACTCCTTTTGATAACTAAATAAAATTTCACTGCATTAATATATAGATATATCATATTCTGATTTTGCATTTATCAGTTGAAGAGACATTTGAGTTGTTTCCACTTTTTAGCTACAATAAATAATGCTGCTATAAACATTCATGTACAAGTTCTTGTATAAACAGATGTTTTCAATTCTCTTAAATACCTAGAAGTGGAATTGTGGAGTCATACACTTTGAGAAATAGCCAAACTGCTTCCCAAAACAGTTGCATCATTTTACATTCCTACTGGCAATGCATGAAGTTTCTAAACTTTTCAGATCCTTGCCAACACTATTCTTGTCCACCTTTATTATAACGACACTAGTACTATTTCATAATAGCATGTATGTATGTATTTATTTTACCATAGGGTACATGCACTTGCCAGAGAGAGAAAAGAGCAGAGAGAGGGAAAGTGAGAAATCTTTTCCAGGGGGGAATGGCCACACCACAATCCCTTCTTGTCGATTTTCCTCCTGGAATATTAGGCATGCATGTGGCCAGCATGATTTTCAAGCCGCTGGGTCCAGGCTTGAACTGTCGTCAGCCATGTGGGAATACAGTGTCTTAATCACTATGCCACAGGCTGACCCATCTCATAATAGTTTTGATACACTTTCCTGATAAGGAATGGTAATTGGCATATTTTCATAGAGCCATTATGTATCTTTCAAAAATAAATATCCATTTTTAAAAGAATTATTTTATTAATTTTATTTGTTTATTTATTTTTAATTTGACCAGAGAGGGAGAGAGAGAAAGAGAGAAAGTGAGAAAGCAAGCCCCCAGGTCCGGGACTCAAACCGTGGTCAGCCATGTGGGAGTCCAGCACACTTAACCACCATGCCACTTGCCGGCCCCAAACCTTTGACCATTTTCATTTGGTTGTTTTTTAATTATTGAGTTGTAAAAGTCTTTGTATAATCTAGGTATAGATCCCTATTAGATACATGACTTGCAAATATCTACTCTAATTTTTTTTTTTTTTTTTTGGGGCGGTTTTTTTCCTATAGGGATAGAGACAGAAAGTGAGAAATCACCCCCCAGGGGAGATGGTCACGCCACAATCCCTTCTCTTCCCTTCTCCTCTCCGGATCTTGGGCACGCACGCACACGCACCCGGTGTGAGTTTTAAGCCACCGGGTCTGGGACGCAAACCGCGGTTGACTACACGGGAGTCCAGTGACATAGCCATTACGCTAACTGCTGGTTCCCATATCTACTCTAATTTTGTGCTTGTCTTTTAGCTTCCTTGATAGTATCCTTTTGAAATACAAAGAGTTTTTAATGTCAATGAAGTTCGATTTATTTATTTATTTATACTTTGTACATATCCCCCCCCAAAATTTCTGTAATCCAAAGTCATGTATTTAGATCTGTATTTTCTTCTGAGATTTTTATATTTCAGGGTCTTCTATGTAGGTATTTGATCCATTTTGATTTCATTATGGTTCAGGGTGGATGTTTGTATTCATTCTTTTGTATGCGGAAATAAAGTTATACATCTAGTTGCTCAGAACAAAAACCTTGGAGCCAACATCAGCATCTCTTTTTCTCTCCCACCCCAGGTCTAGTTCAACAAAAGTCCAGCTTGCTCATCTTCACAACACATCTAGAATCTGACTGCCTCTCACTTCTATTAGTACATTCATGACCTAAGCCCTCATCATCTCTCATCTGGATTACTGCCATCTCCTAAGTTCCCCTGTTTCCACTTTTACCTCCCTCAAATGTGTTCTCAGTAGCAACCAGACTAATCTTGTCAAAATGTAGACCCTTCACTCCTTTGCTCAAAAACCTCCAATGGCTTCTTATCTCATTCTAGTTAAAGTCAAAGTCTTTAAAAAGGCCCGTAGTTTTAATTATCTGTATTCCTGTCACCTTTCTGACCTCATAACCTCTTTTTTTACTCCAAAGACATTAGACTCTTGTTTTTTCTTCAGAAAATAGATTAAGTACAACCTCCCTTTAGGAGTTTTTTATTAGGTATCCCTTCTTTGTGAACTGCTCTTCCCCCAGGTATTGAGTTAGCTCATTTTTTATCTATTTTAGATCTTTTTTAAAACTCACCTTACCAATAAGGCCTTCTCTGGACCTCTATCTAAAAGTATACCACACACTCCACTCCAATCCCAAACCTGATCTAACTCCTTGCCTTTATTTTTATCGTTGCCTTTATCATTATCTAACTTCCTAACTTCCTCTCTTCATTTACTTGTTTCTCATACTGGAATGTAGGCCCCATAGGAATAAGAATTTTTTTCATCCTTCTTTTTGGTCACTGCAGTAATACCAATGGTTATAATAGCACCTGATACACAAAAGAATGCACAATAAATATCATGAATAAACGAGTGAGTGAATGATTATACTAAGAACATTTCAGAAATTACTTCTTATTGTCCCTGCAGAAGTTTATATTTCACTGGAGGAAACATACATGAATCAAATAATACAAGTATATAATTACAGTGATCTTGAGAAAAAAGTATAGAGAGCTATGAGAGAATATAACCAGAAAACTGATCAAATACGGGCTTGGGAAGGTAAATTATTAGAGAAGAATTTCCTGAGAAATAACATTTGAGTTGAGGTCAGAAGAATGAAGTAGTTAACTAGCTAAAGGATAAAAAAAGTATTCCAAATAGAGCACATTCAAAGGTCCTGAGGCAGGAGGAAGCACGAAGAAACAGAAGAGGCCAGTATGCCTTTAGCACAAAGGGCAAAGGCTGCCTGGAGAAGCTGGAAGGAGTCACTAGGTTGGGAAGGAATGCAAAATGACAAACCTGGCGATGAACTTGCTTTTATATCTTTTTTACAATATTTTTAAACAGAACATAATTAAGAGGTTCAATGTAATTATACAGTACTAATGATATATTTTTAAAATATGTGTGTATTAATATTTTTGCAACCTTAGGGATGAGAATAGAATTGAATGCTAGGATTAAAAATAATTATTCAAAGACACCTAGTAATGGGAAAAATATTCTGAATAGTACAAAATAATAAAAAGAGC